CAGTTTTTAAAGCTGCACCATAAAGTTTGGATAAATCTGGTTACGTAAAGCCATTAAATTCACCAGTAACCGTTTGTTCAGAATCACTGGCATAATATGAAGACATAAGAGCTGCGTTTGCATGTTAATATAGTCTTTGAACAGAAGGTGAACAGGTGTGAACATATTCAACCCAAACATTGGTTTAGAACTCTATTTATGGTTCGAGGCGAACGCCTTTCATCAAACCAGACTTTGAAAAAACTGTGAAGGGTTCAATGCAATTTATTTTAGTCTCTTAATTGAACGCTCAGACGTGTGCCTGAGTCATTGCAGCGTGTGCTAGAAAACACTGTTACAGTTCAATATATGTGCTAGAAAAGTATATATATATATGTGCTAGAATATATATATATATATATACACTAAAAAATGCTGGGTTAAATATAACCCAGCGCTGGGTTAAAAAGGGACAAACCCAGCTATTGTTATATTTAACCCAGCATTTTTTAGAGTGTATACATATATATATTCTATACTTGTCTGCATGCAATGTTGAATGTAAGAGGCCTAAGATAGGAAGGACTGTCCATGCATCCCCACAGAAACTGAACTTGCAAGTGTCTTGGTAGAAAAGTGGAGTAACACATCCCAGCAAATGGAAAATCTGGAGCAGTTCATGAGGATGAGATGCACTGGAGGACATTTGAGGACATGCTCATTTGCAAAAATGATATAAGGTAAACAAGGTTATAAAAATGCAAAACAATTTTTGTGAGGGTTAGAGTTAAGTTATTATAACTCAAACAATATTGGTCTATTGTACAGAGATAAAAGCTTTTATTATTAAAGCAGGGTTTTAATGATCAGTTGTCAAAGAAAGTGTGTAAGGTACCTAAACATTTTTACTCCAGCCAAATTTAGGCAAACCATGAATGAGGCATAATGATGCAAACAACCAAAAGACCAACATCAATTATAAACCTAGAGAAAACGTACTGAAGCCAAGCATGAATACTGACGAGCTAAATGTGTCCCATGATTTGACTTCTAAAATCTCACTCTCTCCCGATATAGTTTATAAAACAGAATAGATTGTGATGGATGCATTATCAGACTTCCCTCCTGATCACTACAGCCAACAAAATATATCCTCTAGAGTCACACAAGAGACTCCTGATCTGGTGCTAGCTTTATCTCCATTTACACTTGAACTGATTTAAGACATGATGTGTTGAATATAAATCAATGTGATTCAAACATAATAAAACACCAGCTTCCATTGAAATCAAACATTACCTCATAAAACGGCAATACCTCAATTAACGTTACAAAAAAAGTCAATCAATTTTAAAATAGTTTACATTTGATCACATTAGGTTCCAAATGTCAGCGTATACTACAGAGCAATTCTATAGAACAGGTACAAAGAATAATAAAAGCCTTTTATGTAAATGACAAACAAAGCAGTAACACAGAACTGCAAAACGTAGACGTGCGTCTGACATCCGGGTTTACCAAAACCAAAAAAGTAATTAAATCATCAAAGCAGCAGAGGTGGGGGCAAGTCACACATGTTCAAGTCTCAAGCAAGTCTCAAGTCCCTACCATCAAGTCTCAAGTCACAGTACAAACAAATCAAGCAAGTCAAGTCAAGTCAGTGGCTTGAGACAGATAATATTTAACAGATTTTGGAAAATTATTTTGCACTCAATATATCCAGCGAAGACTGGGATTCAGTCTGGGAGCACGCTAAATAATATGCAATGCTGACTACAAATCACCCCTTATATCAGAAATAAAATGGACCCAAAATTTTCATCGGATATAGACACCCTATTTGGATTGTTTCTTTCACTTTGCATGACATTGTTCCATGCCTACATTGTTCTTGAAAACTATTGTCATGGCTCAAAACAAGAAGCCTATTGCTGTTAATGTACATGTATCTTCCCCTGTAACTTATTGATTTCTTTGATTTTATAATAAGAACTAAATTGACAGCTATGCATTTAAGGCTATGATAGACTGGTTCAGTGGCTTGTGTTTTGTTTACCAAATTATGTCGCAATGATTTATAATAATAATTAGAGTTGTTATAAAGTCAAGTCCTGCCGAGTCATGAAGGTCAAATCAAGTCAAGTCTCAAGTCACTGGATCTCAAGTCCAAGTCAAGTCAAGTCATTTTCTTTATTTAGTCAAGCAAGTCACAAATCCTTAAATTTGCAACTCGAGTCAGACTCGAGTCAAGTCATGTGACTCGAGTCCCCCACCTCTGCAAAGCAGTGTGTGTGCAACACTTTATCAACACTTCTTTCACATTGGTTAGTGATGGCCTAGCACATATGGCATAGAACAATATTAATTTGGCGTCATATGATCTATAGCAACAAAATTTTGCTCTCTAATCAATATATACATTTTCACTTTTCAAAGCTTTGAGCATGTAATTTTTTTAGATCACTTTTAGTAAATATAAACAAATTTGAAGAGCCCAAAACATTTTTTTCCTCTTCCCCCCCAAATCATTTCATTTTGAAATCACTCAAGTATTTAAATATTTAAGAGCAGATAAACACATGGACGACATAATAATCCGTTTTTTTTCCCTAATGGATATAATCAGAACATTAGCCTACCTAAAGTTGCTTTTCTTCCCATTACTTTAGCTAACAATGAACTTTCAAGAGGACTCTCTCTTGCTCAAGCAGTTTAGTAGAGATAGACAAACTGAGATTTTAAATGAGCATCTTTGCGTTGCTTTCTAAGCATTTTGCTAAATATCCTCAAAACAAGATAAACTCACATGCTAAGTGAAACCGTGTAAGAGAGTCTCATGAATTGGCATGTATTTTGTCTTGTAAAACAAGTGAGAAAATAAGGCAGTGCCACATGTAACCATAATGGAGTAAACTCAACAGAGAAAGAAAGGTTTTCTTCTTTTGCCCCCATGTAATGCACAGGCCTCTCTTGATCTATAAACACTTTCGGCCCTTATGTGTAATAAATATTAACAGAATAAACAATCTTTTCTCCAAGTAATATAATTAACCCGAACTGTAGGCTGTTTAACGGAGTATTCCCATAACTTACATACTCGATCAATTGTATATTATTGTTCGCTTGGAAATCTAGAGTTAGGATTTTTTGCTAGTAATTCTCCCAGGATTTTTTCTAATATTCACACACCCATAGAGCACAGCATTGATTCCTGGTAATTATTTAATTTTGGTTGAAATTATATAACTTTAGTGGTGATTACACAACAATTACATTTATTTTTAATTATTGTACAATTATATTATTTTGAATAAATGTTTTTACTTTGTATGCATTTAGAGCTGAATGCTCTGAACTCCTGCTTATAGGAGCTTTGTGGGATCCTTTTATTTGTGTTAAATTTCTGCACTATTTTTGGCTCTTGCACCCATATTTATCCACTGTTGGATGCGTGTCTTTCTTCGTTTGTTCAGTTAAGCAAAGTGCTTCACAGCAACTTGCAGCAAGGATTCAACTGATGGGCGACTTAAAGATAAAATTAAAAAATGGCACATCCAATCACATTTGTAAGAGTTGGAACGATTTTTTTTTTCTTGGTCAAAGTCTGATTAAAGTCTAAATCCAGCAAGAACATGGACAACAACTGGTCTAAAGCTAACAAAACTCAAGTATAACAGCATAACACTAACATAACATCTAAACATACAATCAAATATTAACTACGTCGTAGGTCTTGACCCCTGCTCCTGGGTCTCACTGTGTAAACGGCTCCCGCACATCTGGCCTGTGATATTTGAGTGATCCTGAAGAGCTTGGCGAGCTGGTTCAGGTGTGTTTGATTAGGTGTGTAGCCAAACTCTGCAGGACAGTGGGTCTCCACGAGCAGGAACTACTTTCTTCACAACGACGATTATATCTGATTCATGCGGTCAGAGTCTGTGTAAATCTGTAGAAAGCTGAATGGCATTTTTGACACACACACACACACACGAGAGAAACACAGTCCCATAGACCAATTTTGTGTTTGCAAACAGTGTTGACGTGTTTTTTTTTTTGTGGGTGGAGCCTACCTGGTGGCAGAAAATTACAGTTTTTAAGTAGCAGTCTATGGAAGCCATATAATTAAAGAATAATAAAAAAGGTAAATTTGAGTTTATATTTCAAAATTATGGCTTTATTCTCGCAATTCCAAGACTTGATCTCACAATTCAGATAAGAAAAATCAACTTGTCATTCTCTCTTTTCCCATGAGTTTGTATCCCACACTTCTGGCTTTTTTTCCTAAGAATTTACAAACTCACTATTGTCGAGTTAAATCGAGTCCGAACTAGGAGACATAGGCCTGGTTTCACAGACAGAGCTTAAACTAAGCCAGGGTTAGGCCATAGTTTAATTAAGACATTTAAAGGGGTCATATGATGCTGCTGAAAAGAACATTATTTTGTGTATTTGGTGTAATGAAATGTGTTTATGCGGTTTAAAGTTTAAAAAACACATTATTTTCCACATACTGTACATTATTGTTTCTCCTCTATGCCCCGCCTTTTTGAAACGCGTCGATTTTTACAAAACTCATCGGTCTGAAAAAGCGAGGTGTGCTCTGATTGGCCAGCTATCCAGTGCGTTATGATTGGCCGAATACCTCAAGCGTGAGACGCAAATGTTACGCCCCTCACGAGAAAGGAAAAAATGAAATCGCATCATATGACCCCTTTAAGTCATTTTTATAAATGTGCTTTAAAAAAAAAAACATTATTGGTGTGCATCTTGAGACGAAGCAAAGGCCCTGATATATTTTAAGATCAGTCAGTGCAAGTTTCTTTCAGTTGAAACAGCTCAGAATTACATTTTAGTCTGGGACTAGGCTTAAGCCCTGTCTGTGAAACCGGGGGATAAACCTGCATTTGCGAGAAAAAAAGTCATAATTGTGAGATCTGTGAGAGAATTGTGAAATTAGGTCAAATGTTATAGGTTTACATATTTCATGCTGTAACTGTAGGGCTAATACATTATGTCCCTATGAACTGCATATGTGAATATTATGTAGATCTATGGTTTAAATCAAATTTACGCTTTAAAAGTAGAGTAATCTTAGCAGTTTTCATCAACAGTCGGTCCATTCAAACGTCTGCGTTTAGTTTCAAATGGCATCTTTGTATTCTATAAAAATGATTTGCATTCCAATTCTGACATCCAAAGGCACAACGATACATTTTTTCCTCTTATTGGGTGGATTTTACCCGTTTCCCTCCACTTGTTACCAGTGTTTTTCTGCCACCACACTGCGTAACTGCTCTGAACTGGTCAATCCGATTCAACCCTACAACGTCAATTTGAAATGCAATGTTCTTTTCGTAAACAAAAACCACCATAATAGTTTCTGTGTCAATAAATACATCTTGAATTCCATTATTGGACCATAATTTCTTCAAAAACAGCATCCAGTGTTAAAAGCTGTGTTAAGGAAGAGAACAGCGCTTTATTGCTCTAGTGTCCCGTTCTCTGCAGCTCAATGGGACACTCAAGTTCGACTGTCCTTTTGTATGAAGCGAACAAGAACAAAACCGAAGGGCAAACGCCACCGTTCTTAGGTCTTTATGCTTTTGATACTTTCGCGGTCGTGCTTTTCGAGGGCAGCCAGCTGAACTGATAGCGCTCTCGCGGGGTCATCACGTCTAAATCCAGCAGCTTCTGCTCTTTCTCACTGTCCACCGTCTTGTATCCCAGCAGAGTCATGGCTCCTTTGCAGACCTCCTGGATGCGCTGCACTTTCTCAAACGGTAAGGTGGTTCGCCAAGCCAGGGAGACATCCTCGGCGTTTCGCGAGGTGATCTTGAAGGCCTCCTTCTTCGTTCCCTTGCCCTTCCCGTGCGTGATGCGGTAGATCCACTCCTGCAAACCTTCGGTCATCTCCAAACCCACAAACTCGTACATGGCTTCGATCTCGGCCAGCGTGTTGCGCACTAGATCCTCATAACGCACCATCTTATAGCGCCCTCTTAGGAAATCGGGCGGCTTTAACGTGGCGGTTTCATAAATTCGCACGTGGCTGCGACAAACCTCCTGCAAGACCTGATAAGACTTATCCTTTTCTGGGACATTAGCCTGCTCCAGGACTATAGCGTTGTCTTTGACCAGGGCTTTGACCGACTGCTCACGGGAACGAAGCACCGCTCGAGGATCGCGAACCAGATGGATGATGCGCAGATCCAAACTCGGGTCGCGCAAAAGCGGATACAGCGACTCCAACTCGAAGAAGCGCACCTCTTTTAGCACCACATGGCTGTAAGTCCGACACGCCGCCTCGGTGAGCTTCAAACCCTGCGAGTCGCAGTGCAGCTTGCAGTCTTGCTCTTTGCTGATCTCGTCGCGCGCCATGAGAAAACAAGCGGGCGGAGAGCAGAGTGCGCGGCTGTGGCTCCACATGAAGAGGTTGGAGACGTTGCGCGGCTGGGGCATGTAAGCGTCCATCACCGACATGTCGCACTGAAACACGCTGCGAATCATATCGCGCACCGCCATCCGCAAGCTGCGCGCGCCGGCCTGCTGCATAGACGTCCACACGTGCCAGCCGGGCTCCATCAGGTAAAAGACGTCCGGATGCTGGTTGAACACCTGGCCCAGGAACGAGGAGCCGGATCTCCACGAGGACAGCAGCAGCACATGCACCTTGCCCTCGGACGCAGCAGTGTTTGGAGACGGCGGACGGATGAACCAGCCGTACAGAAGCACCACTGCAGCCGCCTGGATTAACACGAGACTCAGCACAGTGGGCTTCGACACTCTCCAGCGCAGCATACTGCCTGCTTTATTCACCTGCGAGAGCAAGCACAGTCATACTTCAATGGCTAGGTCATGTATGCCCTAAAGCTTTAAAACAAAGTGTTATTCTAGCTTTAAAAAGGATTAGTTTTAATTAGTGCTGTCAGACGACTAATCGCAATTAATCGCATCCGAAGTAAAAGTTTTTGTTTACATAATATATATGTGTGTATTATGTGTTTTTATTATGTATATATAGTAGTAGTAGTAGTATATTTTTTATTTAATGTCATGTCAGCATCTTAGGCTATTTTCATGGCAAAAACAATAAAAAAAAAATACAAGTATAACAAATACAATAAAAACCAGCAAACAAACAAAAGTTATAGTACACAAGATTTTTTACATTAACATATGATAAAAATTCTAAAACTTTCTGACAAAATTATACTAGCCTAAATAACTACATTTAGTAATTTAGCAGATGTTTTTATCCAAAGCGACTTACAAACGAGGACAATGAAAGCAATCAAAATCAACAAAAGAGCAATGATATGCAAGTGCTATAACAAGTCTCAGTTAGCTTAACACAGCACACATAGCAAGGTTTTTTTTTTTTATCATATAATCATATAATAAATAAAAAGAAAACCGATAGAATAGAAAAAGAATAGAGCAAGCTTGTGTTAGAGGCTTTTTTTGTTTTTGTTAATTGTATAATAATAAAAGAAAATAGACAGAATACAAAAAGAATAGAGAAGCTAGTGTTAGTTTTTAGTTGTTTTTTTTTTTAAAGAAAACAAGCAGTTAGTAAATGAATAGAGTACAAGTCTAAAATGGGCAAGTTTTTTTTAAAGAATAGAATTAGAATAGAGAGTGCTAGAGTAAGAGGGTCAAATAAAGATGGAAGAGATGTGTTTTTAGCCGATTCTTGAAGATGGCTAAGGACTCAGCTGCTCGGATTTAAGTGAGTTCACTTAATAAAAGAGTTTTCTACATACATTAAAGGCTGGACAGTCCAATAAAATATGTTTGACAGAAAGGGGAATCTTGCAGAACATGCATCGAGTGGGGTCTTACAAACAAACAAAAGTTATAGTACACAAGATTTTTTACATTAACATATGATAAAAATTCTAAAACTTTCTGACAAAATTATACTAGCCTAAATAACTACATTTAGTAATTTAGCAGATGTTTTTATCCAAAGCGACTTACAAACGAGGACAATGAAAGCAATCAAAATCAACAAAAGAGCAATGATATGCAAGTGCTATAACAAGTCTCAGTTAGCTTAACACAGCACACATAGCAAGGTTTTTTTTTTTTATCAAATAATTGTATAATAAATAAAAAGAAAACCGATAGAATAGAAAAAGAATAGAGCAAGCTTGTGTTAGAGGCTTTTTTTGTTTTTGTTAATTGTATAATAATAAAAGAAAATAGACAGAATACAAAAAGAATAGAGAAGCTAGTGTTAGTTTTTAGTTGTTTTTTTTTTTAAAGAAAACAAGCAGTTAGTAAATGAATAGAGTACAAGTCTAAAATGGGCAAGTTTTTTTTAAAGAATAGAATTAGAATAGAGAGTGCTAGAGTTAGAGGGTCAAATAAAGATGGAAGAGATGTGTTTTTAGCCGATTCTTGAAGATGGCTA